TCCTTTCCAACCATGTGACCTTTGGGAGCATTACTTTACCCCTTGTGCCTCCGTTTCTCCATCGGTATAATGAGGATCAGAATCACATCTACTTCCTAAGTGTGCTGTGAAAATCCCATGAGTTAAACAAAGAAGTCACTTCAAATGGCACCAGGCAGAGAGTCAGATCACAGTAAACAGTAGGTGCTAGCTTTGCCATTGTTATTCGGGGTTTTAGTTGTATTATAGGCCAGGCACTGTTCTGGGAGTTGGAGATGAAGTCACGAATGACAGAGGAGTCCCTGACCTTGCGGAGCTGGAATACAGTAGTTGAAACTGAAAATAAAATGATTTCAGATACTGATATAAAGGAAAAGTAAAACCAGAAGAGCGGGGGAGAAGAGCAGCTGTACCAGGGGTCTCTGAGGAAGGAATTTTTGAAGGGATCCTGGATGTTGGGAAGGAGCAGCTGCATGAAGACCAGGGTCTAGAGCCCTCCAGGCAGAGGGCACAGGAAGAACAAAAGCCCTGAGTGGGGACCATGCCTGGCATTTTCAAAGGCTTGGAGGCAGAGCCGTGGAGCACAGCGGGTCTGGGACACAGCGGCACAGGATGGCGTGGGAAAGGGAGGAAGAGTCCAGAGCCAAGGCCCTGTAGGCCCCATAGCTCAGTGGATGCAAACCTGGCTTCATATTAACATCACCTGGGGAGTTTTAACAAAAACTGAAATGCCTGGGTTCTGCCCCAGAATTTTTGTTTGTTTGTTTGAGATGGAGTCTTGCTCTGTCACCCAGGATGGAGTGCAGTGGCACGATCTCGGCTCACTGCAACCTCCTCCTCCCAGGTTCAAACGATTCTCCCACCTCAGCCTCCCGAGTAGCTGGGATTACAGGCGCCCGCCACCATGCCCGGTTAATTTTTGTATTTTTAGTAGAGACAGGGTTTCACCATATTGGCCAGGCTAGTCTCCAACTCCTGACCTCAGGTGATCTGCCCACCTCAGCCTCCCAAAGTGCTGGGATTACAGGCATCAGCCACCGTGCCCAGCCTGCCCCAGAGATTTTTGAAAAGTCCCTGAGTCATTCAAACACACAGAAGACTTGGAGAACCCCTGCTGTGGACTACAGTAAGGGATGTATGTTTTTGTGTATGCTTTTCTAATTGCACTGGGCAAGGCGAGGATCAGATATTTGTTTCTGAAAAACTACTCTGGTTGTTGTGTGGAGAACCAACCATGGAGTAGGACTGGGTGGTCGCTGACAGTGGAAGAGAGGATACCAATGAGGACATAGGTCTTCAGAGACCCGGGACAGGGGGTAGTGACTGGGAAGAGGATGGCAGCAGTGCAGGGCTGGGAAAAGTGGTGGTCAGGTTTGGTGTTTGAAGGGCGGAGCTCATGAGACTTGATGCAAGGCGGGCTGTGGGGGAAAGCGCAAATAGGGTGGCCCCAAGGTTTGTGGTTGGAGTTGAGTCAGTGGGAAGAAAAAAGTTTCATGGAGGGAGATCATGAGTTGTGCTTAGGACACATTAAGTTGGAGAAAATTATTCAAGTTCCAAGTAGATAAATAGAATGTCCAGTTGCTTGGAGCTCTTGTGAGAACAGCAAACAGAGGTGCCTGGTGGGTCAGTTACATGAATGTAATCCCTGATAAGGGCATGAGGCACAGTGTGACTCAAGGATGCTATATTTATGCCATAAACAGTTTAACAAAAATGATGTTACTCCATCGTTTAAAATGAGACTGGGAGTGGAATTATACGCAATTATATTACACGTATTTTGCATCATTTGCATTAAACTATGAGCATTATATCATAATATGCTTGACTTATTGTTGCCAGTTTTTAAGAACTGTAATGGGGAATCATAGGCTATGTGATGTTATTTTTGTTAAAATTTAATTAGAATATGATTTCTCTCTCTTATAAATCCCCTAACTTGCTCTTTTTTAAAATCACCTAAATTTTTCTATAAATCACCTAGATCTGTGATAAATTCATCTTTCTTAGTATTAAGCGCAATTTTCCTCTGGCCATCACCTCAGGCATAAATAGAATGTCTTTATACTTGTGACTTTATGGGTTTAGAGTCTTATCATTCCAGTTTAATAAATTGTGGCTCCTTATCTGATATCAATATATCAGTATAAATGTAATATATCTTTATATTTGTATGAGCAACAAATGAATTTATTCATTTACCAAGTGCACAGAGTGAATAATATCAACTGTCACAATTCTATAGCCGCATGGCTGTTGAAAGTTTGGCAAGTTTGCCTGTTACATTATTGTTACGTTGAGAACAAACAGCACTGGAGGCATAGTAATTTTAAAAGTTACAACGATGTTGTGGAATCCTTTTAGTATAAAGCAGTACAGTGACATCAGTTTTTCTAAACTATCAAGAGGATAATGTGCCCCTTTTTAAAAGAGTTTAAGTAGGATTCTCTGGATAACTTTTAGATGTCTGTCCTATAAAGTAAGGCATTCTCTACTCTGCCTAGGCATGGAAATTATTCCACTTTATTTAGTAACAATGATCCAATGAAATCTGTTTTCTTTGGGTCAAGACCCAGTGTTTAGAAATGCTTACATGTCTGGGTAGTTTCATCTCCTATAATACTTGAGATCTAATTTCATATCTTGTTTATGGGGAAAGCCAGAAGCCAAATTTATAATCATTGTTCTTTTCCTCCTTCAAGTCTCCTCAGACCAAATTCCTAGGATTTATGACTTATTTCTATTCCCAAATAATTCACCACTTGAATATGATGAAAGCTTGTGTTCGCATCCAAATTATGATTTTCATTGAAGTTTAGTTCAACAAAATTCAGGGTTCTATGTAATAAACTCTTCCCATGTAGATGATATTTTGATTTACTTCTATAAATATTTTTATAACTGAGAGTGAAGCATCTAAACAATTGTTAAATATGTGCCTAGAATCTGCTTTAGAACAAAGGCTCTGCCAACAGCCATCATTTCCTGGTTTCTAGAATGGGGACCTTTTTCCCATGCATTGTTTTCAGTTGGTATTCTTAGCAATAAAGTGATGATCAAATCCAAACATGGAGATTATGATTTTCATATACTTTATTTAAAAAGTACACAGTTTTAAATTGGTTTCAATAGGTTTCAAGCAGAAGGGACACTGCCTATCACTTGCAGTCCCATTTCTGATGAAGGGTGATTATCATGTGGCAAACTCACATTTGCATGACTGGCAAAGTAAAAAGATAACTTTTTGTCAACATATCTTAAGAGTTTATATCACGCACAGTTTAAAATCATGAGGAGATGCTGATGGTTGGACTATATTCATGTCTCGTATGTTGCACCATATTTTGGTTCACAGTTTATCCATGATTTAGCATGCCAAGAGAACATCTCAGTCAGTGTCACCTTGAGAAGAGCATCAAAAGCAGAGGGAGCAGAAGAAGGACTGTCTGGGCCCGGAGACTCGGCGCACCCCCACACTCCCTTGCATTCTCCTACAGGGAAAGGCAGGGGTTGGTTAGACGCAAATGGACTCCAGGACACCTTCAACTTTCCAACCATGTGGATTCCCCAGACCTCTCTCCCATCTCTAATGTAAGAACAAAGTCTTCTGGGACCTAGATGAAGTGCGGATTCAGTTTACTGAAAAGGATTATTTTCTCATGAGTAAACTTTTCAGCTGTAGTTCTTTGACCAGTGTGAGACTCTCATGGTGATTCTGATGGGAAAAGGAAACAGGAACAGTTCTCAGACTTACCTCAGGATGGAAGCCATGACAAGATTCCGGGCGCCTTCTGATCTTCTGGGCCTTTAGACGTTCACACTTAAGGGATTCATTATGTTGACTGTAGTTAAGGCATGTTTCCAAGGATTGCTTTTTTCTACTCTGCATTTCAGAGGTCAAAACTTGGTAATGACAACTCTCTTAACTACTCTCTCTCTCCAACAGTGGAAAGGATGTAATTTTCCTTCTCTAATATTTCTCCCCCAGGTTTCCTTACTATTGATCCCCCTTACTGGTTTCCGTGGTAGTGACTGGACCTGCACACAAAAGGATATACCTGATTTCAATGGGCGCCATGGTGATGGGGGCCACAGATTCACAGAGGCAGCTGCTGTCCACCACCACCATGAACAGGTTGCTGCTTGGGATTTGCTGGATGACAAAGGACCTGTTGGAACAAGAGGTAGTGAGACACTCATTTACTATCCGTCAATTAAAGAGTCATGAGGAAGACTTCTCTCCTGGGTGGTAGCAACTACCATATTTTGTAAAGCAAATTTTGGAGACTGTTTTACTACTAATGTTACCTTTCTCCATGAGGCTCTTCACTTATAAATACCTAGCTTCACTAGGAAAACAATAGCTATAATGACATGCAGCTCATACAACTCACCTTGGAAAGACTGAAATGCTGTATGTACAAAACACAAGAGTCACAGTTGGTTGAATCACCTGTTCCCAAAGTTTAAGAGGTGAGACTTTCAAAGACTAATTTCCTTCTCCCAGAGCCTAAACATTACCCCAAGTTACATTTGATGTTCCTCTAAGTGGCATTTTCTCTCCTCCTTCCCTCAAGGATAGAGTGAAACTATGTCATACCAATGGCAAAGGAGGTAGTGAACTTCTTAGAGCCTTCCTTATACTGCTTTGCACAATGTCTGCCCAGTATACAGGAACAGTGTTTTGAGTGAGATTAATGCTAGTCATTTATGAGGTCCCACACTTCCCAGAGCACAAGTTCTGTAAGAACCAAGGCTGTATAGCTGCTCTGACCTTCTGATCCATCAGTATAGTTAGTCCAACTTAAGCAAGCTTGGCAGTGCCTCCTTCTCACACTGCCCAACGTGGTGAAGTGACAAAGACACTATAAAATAATCTTTTAACACAAAACAATACTGACTTTTTGGAGGAACAAATGAGGGATCAAAATCTCATATTCTTCCAGAACCAACAGATTAGCTAAATAATTTTAACTCCATGCTTATAACCCCTATCACATAACTTTTCATAATATTTCATTAAATTCAGTTTAATAGATTTTTAACTTAACAAACGGACATTAACAAAATTGTCAGTCTCTCCAAAGGTTTTATCTTCATTTGCCTTTCTTGCAATAAATTTGTTCCATTCTTTTGAGTATATCACCATGATGAACTAAAATCATGCAATGAAGAAAAGTTCTTCTGCTTTATGGGACGTTATAAAGAAGGGAAAGGAACTCCCCCTTTTTAAACCTGTTGTCACCTCCTATGTTGAATGATCCATGAATGCCTCTGAGACTGCAACACAATTGACTTCTTTTCTATAAATGCCCAATGCCCATCTAATATCACACAGTTATGTTCATTTTCTTCATCTGTAGTAGGGAACAGGGCTTGCCACTGTGCAAAGATGTTTCCTCAATGCCTTAACCACTATCCACACTGGGACACCTACTCTCTGCCCTTCCCACTCTTGTCCAGAACTACATCTGGCTTCAGAGAAATATTCAATCTTGCTGACTGTTTTGCTAATTAATTCCATCTATATCTATATCTATATCTGCTTTATCTTCCCTCTTTAACACTAGACTCTCGCCTATGCAAGAATGTTACTCCAGCAATTGGCCTCTTCTGAATGGATTTTGCCTATCAACATAAATATATTCTACCTGAGATCTCTCTCTTCAGAGAGCCCATAATTTCTACCTTGGAGGTGGCAGGTTAATAGAGTCTCAAAGAAAACCACAAAACCAAGATCACAAAACACTCAGAACAAATGGCTGACTAGAAGATTAAGCCAAGTGTGTCTGCCAGATGAACAATAAAGGAGAAGAGATGAAAATATGACATAAAAGATCCAAAGGGAGAAAATATTTTTTGCACTGAAAAAACAAATCCAATTCTTTTCAATGAATGGGCCCACTGAAACATGAGTAAAAAACTTCCTATCCTCAAAGATACAGACCAATCCTAAAAGCTTCCCTAGAAACAAATTACTTAGAATGAGAATAAAACCAGTTTCTCAGTGGGAGTACTGAAGATGAAGAAACAGAGTAATATATTTAAAGTTTTGAGGAAAAAAGAGAGTCAAAGGTATGTCATGTCCAGAGAAAAATAGATTCTAGATCTCCGTAGACATTTATAGAAAATTATATTTTCAAATTAGGAATAATCATTGAAAAAATATTTAAAAGTATTTAAAACCTGATAAATCTGGATAGCATGAGAAATTAAACACCCCCCCTACACACACATGACTGCCAGTATAAACCTAAAATTATTACCAATCACAATAACTGTGAGGTTGTTAGATTCACATATTAAAAGGCAAAGACTCTTAAATTGGGTTTACAAACATTATGCTGTTTGCCACAAACACTCCTAAAACAGAATGACATAGGAGGAGGGGAAAATACATCAAAAATATGCTAACAAAAAAGAAACAAGTTCAGGTTAAGTAGTAATATACAAATATTCAGAGTAAAAAATCATTACAATGTAATAAATAAAACAGTTCATACCGAAAAGAATTATAATCCACTAACAAGATAAAACATGATTGATTATTCACATAATGATAGTAGTATACAAACCGAAAGAAATAACAAAAGGGATTTCTGAAAGCATGATCTATTAAAAATATGGACCCAAAACTCTTCAGATATAAACAACACAGAATATAAATTATTTTCAAACACAGGGAACTGCAACACATTCCAAAGAACCTATAGTATTGATTATACATTCTTCTTTTATGGTAGAGTACAATTAGAAATTAATACCAAAATGATATAAACAGTGAAAATTAAAAGTTAAAAAATACCTTTCATCAATCCTTGAGATTTGATAATAGCCCAGATTCAAATTTGTGCGGTATAATCTTAGACATTTTCATCAGAAAAAATAAAGGTTGCAAATATTTGACTAAGTTTTCAAATCAAGAAGCTGGAAAAATAAGAAGATAAACCTGCACCTGTGCCCTATACATTGTCTTCCTTCTTGTCCACTGGATTGAGTATTAATGTCCCTCTGCAAAGCCTATCTCTCAGGCTTCTTCAAGGATGTGACTGGTGGAAAAGAAGAGACAAGTGACGGTTGCACAAATAGTTTCCCTCATCTACTAGCCCTTCCTGGAGGCTGGCAAACATGCTGTCACATCTCCCAGCTCCGAAAAACAAAACTGTCTCTTAACCCTCCCTCCTGCGACCACCCCGTTTCTCTATCTTTCCTTATACCATAAGTCCTAAAAATAATGATCTATAATCCTTCTCTCTCTCCCCCCAACTCTCTCTCTTCATACCTCTCCCTCCTTCACAAATTGTATTCCAACAAGGTTGTAGTCCTCACCACTCCAACTGAATCAGTTCTTGCCAAGGACACCAATGACCTCAAAACTTTCCTTCTGTATCTTTCTCCTTTCTTGTTTACTGTCTGCCCCTCATAAAAGACTGTAGTTTCCAAAGTAACAAGGCTGCATCTAACTGCCTGAGGTTATTAGTTACCTCTATCTAGCACCTAGAGTTGTGCCTGGGACAGAGCAACTTCTCAGTAAATATTTGTTGAATCAATGACAGAACTTGAAATGATAAAGGCAGAAGAATAAAATAAAAATTAAACTGTGAAGATAACCAACAGAATCAAACTCTGGTTTAAAAGCTTACTGACATAAATCAACTTTGGCACTCCTGATCAAGAAATTAAGTCACAAAGTATCATTATAACCTGAAAGATACGGGAGCATTTTAAACATTTTTTGGTGACTATTCTGTATAGCATTGTAAACAATCTGAGAACTTAGAGGAAACACGCCTTTGGGGATAAAGCATAAATTATCTACATTTGGCCAAGCTATAAAAATCATGAGCAGACCAATTGCCATGAACAAAACTGAAATGCTCATTGAGAATCTACCCCCAGGTGAATTCGACCCAATCACCCAAAGAACAGATATTGCTGTGTTCATAGAAAACCCACATGAACCCACTGACCAACTATTAGAACTAATAAAAGAACTCAGCAAGCTGGCTAGTTACATAATCAGCATATAAAACCACAGCCTGACACTGGCAATAACCAATGAAAAATATTTGTGAAATAAAGAACCATTGATAGTATCAATAATCACTATAAAATGCCCAAGAATAAATCGAGTAAAACATATGCCTTTATGAAGAAAATGATGCAAATTTACTGAGGAACATAAAAACACAAGCTAAAAATTGGAGGGAAGTACAATGGTGGTGGAAAGGAACACTTATACTTTAAATATGTCATTTCTCTCTTAATTAACTTTTTAATTCAAAGCAATTTCAATAAAAATGTCAATAGGTTTTTTTATGGAATTTGAGAACGTGATTCTAAGATTCTTTCAGAAGAGTAAATATAGAGAATAGTCTGGACAATTATAAAAAATTGGATTTTATAAAAAAGGGAAGGGCAGCTGCTTGCCATACTCAATATCGAAATTTGTGAGACAATTCATAGAAGAGGAAACACATATGAGTAACAAATAGGTAAAAGGGGGTTCAATCTCACTAAAAATTAGAGAAGTGTAAGTGAAAGTAATGATTTGATTAGGACATAGGTAAAAATTAAAATCTATGATAATATCAAATAATGGAGAAAGTCTGAAGAAATGAACACTGTTCTATACCATGGGTGGGAAAGTGAACTTTTATAGCTACTATGAGGACAATTTGTTATTATTATAGTGGAAATCTTTTATACCCTATTTTCTCTGTAGTTTTACTTCTCATTAAAATAAACTCTTGTTCAGAACCCAAGAAGTCATGTACAAAGATGCTCTTGGTAGCAATGTTCACTGAAATGGAAAAAAAGCAAACACGAACAAACAAACAAAAAATCAAAAACGAACAAACAAAAAAGCCCCACCTAAATGTCCAACACTGGGGCAATGATTGAATAAGCAAGAATATGTCCACTCGGTGGTCTTCTTGGCACCAGGTGACAGGGTAAAGAGGATCTCTGTTTACTGTCATGAAAGGAGACCCAAGATGGTGAGTGGGAAAATAATGTAAAACTATACATAAAGTACGAGTATTTAAGAATATTTAGGACTATTTATTTAAGAACATTCAATTCTGCTACAGAGAAACAAGAAAAATAAATGAGATGGATAAAACTTATAAGATGTATTAGGTATAGATAGCACATAAGTGATCCATGA